CCACTGGATGTAGCTTAGCTGCGGATTGCTCACCAAACTCCACAATCACTTTCCACTCTTCATTCTCAATCCTTTTCTTTACTCTCTTCAATTCATTCTGTGAATCAGATTCACTAAGACTGTCACTTGACATGTCTATCTTCTTTCTTGAAGTCTTTTTCCTTACTTCATTCCATCCTCCTTCAGATGCACTTTCCATATCCTCCTCTCCAGGACTCAAAGAAGCCATTCCACCAGCTGCTCTCAATCTCGCACTCACTTCAACGTTCACTCCTATCTCCGTCTACTCAGTCTCAGCACGTGTCACTCGGATCATCCGACCCTGGTCCTGGTCTCTTTCAGAGAAATCCTTCTCCTCTAGCCTTTCTTTTATACCCATGATTATGTGGAGTTGGGAACACCTGGGCAGAGGCGGAGCCAGGGCATACATCAGAGACTTTTCTAACACGATAGTAATTTTAAGCCTAAAACAATAAATGTTGTACTTGTGCTTACCTTTTATGTGTTTAATTCAAATACAAAATATTTTGTATGTGATGCAATAACATGAAATTGTACAGCAGCCAGTACAGTAGGGATCATTTGTTTAAACAGTGAAGAAGGAGGAGTAATGGTGGCCTGCTGAAGCCCAAACTGACAGGGCAGGCCAACATCAGCAAGCACCAATTAGAAGAGAAACCTCTACACTGGCTTGTGGGATGTTTATGTCTGTGCTGGAATTAAAGCTTCTGTGTGACAAAAAAAGCAGTGCAGTGTATTTTGATGTTCAAGCCACTGGCTAGAAATAAACCCACAATTTGTCCAATGTCAGAGCTTCTTTGTACTTCAAACTGAGACTCGAGGGACTGCAAATAGACTTCATTCACTTATAGTTCAATTCAGTAGAGAACAACACAACCAATCATTAAAACAAGTCTTTATTCACTCTTTTGTTAAAAAAGACACACTGTGAAACCATAGAGGAGCACACAAACAAGAAAAGTTACTAAAGGTCTATATTCATTTGTTCTTCTAATCGTCTGCAAACAAAAAGATACAAAAGCTAAAAAAATTTGTTAAAACTGCAAGATGAACTGAGGGGAAGACAATGAAACATGAAAGCTTACTGGCAAAGTGTGAAAAGGATTGATAGCACATAAAGGAAAACACTGATAGATATACAAGTAGCAAACTTAGAAAACGTATTTAAATAACACTCGAGCTAAACTGAAGAAGAGCAGGGTGTTCCCAGCTCTTTGGGGACACTTTATCACAGCCAGTAGAAATATACAACTGGTGATAATCGATTGCAAATAAACATTGCTTCTTTTCAACCACTTACAGTATTACACCGTTTAGAAAAGGCAACATTTTAGTGATTCAGTTTCCTGCCTTGAAAACCTAGTATAAAATCAGATAAAAATCCCTTTTTCGTATTTTAGAGGCTCTTTTTTTAAAACTCAAAGCTTTCACATTTAAATCATTTAGAGCTATCAAGAGTTGGGTTTAATACTGTATTTATTCCAATTCATTCTTTTATTTTCTCTGTAGGACTTTATATTCAAAACATGGAACTACCATTGGACCAGGTTGTGGTTAAAGAATATGCGTTGGATGCCATAAATAAAACAAAAGCTTTCTGCTGAGAGTTAACTCTTCAACTACATCACAATTCTTAGGAGAAAGATTGGAGAGAGGAATATATGGGGAAAAGCCTTTGTCACACCCACCCTGAGCTCGACTACTCTGCCTTTCCCCCTTCCCCTCTCCATTCTGTTATATTCTCTCCATTTCATCCATTTCCCCAGTGATCACAGCTTTGTTCTATTTCCCTCATCCTTATCTCTGTTTGCCAGAGTTTTCTCTCCTCCTCTTCCTCACAGCTCGTCCCTTGCGCTCCAGTTTTCAAGTTCAGACTGCAGTACGTCAGAGTTTTGGGCCTCAGAGCTCAGTTCCCCCTGCTCCTGAGTTTTTCTGGACCTGGCTCTGTCCCAGTCGGTTCTGACTGTCTCGTTGTCCCAGACCACCGATGTTTCCGTGTCGCTGATGTAACCCATTTCTCCTGTGTAATGCGTTGGATACACCAGAAGCGGCTCTGCGGAAAATGCACGCAGGTCCCGGCTCTCAAAGCGCTCCATGTACTCTGACCTGATGAGGGAGAGGAGCGGGACATTTTATTAAGAAGAGCGCTACAGGACAGAATCAAAAAGAGGAGACAGGTAGAGTAAGACTGTTTGAAAAATATCACGCGTCACTGGCTTGAGCTTCAATAACAGGATACATGTATTTATTAATCCTCATCACATACAGAGCCATATGGAACAACTAGTTCCTGAACAGTGTCCTTCACGTGCTTTATATACAAGAGAGGGTGTTACACAGTCACAAGAGGCATGGATACCGGTTTAAAGCAGTATACAATGTTTTGTTTGGATTAACTAAGGCCCACGTCAGAAATGATCATGCTTGTCATATGTCTATCTCCATAGAGGTTGAATCATGGTGTTAGTCGTTGTCACATAGCTATCATATGCCTAAAACAGTGTGTCCTGATGCTCTTCTAGGTAATCATACATCCTGACATCTACGCAGCTACAGTTGGGTCTTTGTTATCATGTGCTACTCTGATATTGGAAGAGTACATCCAGTATTTTCCAGACAAAGACGATAGAGGGATGGTGGGTTAACTCACACTGGATGTTTGTCATACATGACAGGGAGGAACTCATCGACAGGAAGCAGATTGTTCAGAGGTTCGGCCAGGAGGAGCTTCTGGGCCCCCTGTAGGGACAGCAGGTAGCCAAGGGTCCAGTAGGAGTAGTCGGCCTCCACCAGGTTGTGGATGTTTGGTACAGGCTTCTCTTGGTGGTCAATCTGCATCCGCTTCCGCCCAATGTAACTGCATTTAGTATTAAAGATAAAAGGGGCGGTATACATCAGAAGCACCTAACTTACATCAGCATTTTAAACAGACTTCAATCAATTTATTTAAACATATTTCATGCAGTCAGAGGATGAGCAAAGAACAGCACCGTGCCAAAGTTTAGTTCTTTATTTTGGCTGAATGTATTGTAACTACTGATGAAGGTTTGTTTCTGTCTATACCGACTGTCAATGCAATGTTTAAAGGTCTATAAAAAAAATATATGTACTTTTTAATTTATTTACTAACTACTAAGTAAAAATGTTAACTACAAGTTTATGTCCTTAAAGATTTTTTGTTTTATATTAGATGTCTTGTTTTATATTTTATGTATGCACCATGACATCAAGTCAAATTCCTCGTATGTGTGAACCTACCTGGCAATAAACCTGTTTCTGATTTTGATTCTGATTCTGATGGAAGTTTCAAGTCTTGTATGATTATTTGTTTCGTTGTAATAAAGGACATTAAAGCTGTTCATTTTTTCGCTTGGCACGTTTTCTTGCTAGCTAAAATAAACATCCCAAATAATATCACGATTAACTAGCGCTAGCATTTGCTGGAAGATTTGCATTTGCTTTGTTAACGGCACCTGGCCACACCGGGCCTCACTCCTCACCAGCTGCTCCACCCTCTACCCTTTTGGTTCCAAACATATGAATGCCACGGCCAAAACACCAGAATCCAAGCTTCAAAACCATAATCTAGAAACCATAGGGTGACATCCACTTCTCTAAAACAGTCTATGATGTTATATATTTTGTTATTGAATTTTTGAAGTATGGGGGCAGGTTAAATACGATTTTCTTCTCCCTGCTCCTTTCCACCATGGGCTACAGCAAGCATATGTGTAAAGTGTACATGCTTTGTTTTAAAAATAACTGCCATGTGTGGAATAAATAAATAAATCATAGCACATAAGAATACAGTCTTCAGGCTTGCTATCCTACAGCATAAATCAGGCTCTGTGAATGTGACATTTCTAGAGCATCTCATTAGTGTGATTGCATACGATGCGCAATTCCCACAAGTGTTCTCAGCATGTGATAAGGCGAGTTGTGTCTGAGATATCATGAACAGTGGCGGCGCCAGGGATTCTCTCTAAGGGGTGCTGTGGGGTAGCTTGACGTTTCATAGAGGGTGCTCAAACTTTAAGGGTTTCCCATTAATGCACCAGCGCTACAGTTGAATTTTCTACTGCAACCATACTTGTCAACCCTCCCGATTTTCGCGGGAGACTCCCGATTTCATTGCCCTCTCCCGGTTTCCTCCCGGAGTCATATTTCTCCCCGATTTCTGACAAAATCAGATTTACTCAGGACTGTTTCCACTCGGACTTTAATACAGCTACACCATTGTTTGGTTCCATGGTAACACGTCTCTTTAGTGC